TCAGTATTCGTTCAATGGAGAGTAGCATCAAAAGTCACAGTACTTGTCAATAGTGGTAGGAGGCAAGAAGAACTGTCAGATTGTAACAAACTGAGACAGATATGTCAGGCAGCAGGCAACTGTTTTACATGTGATGGTCACTAACCACCAAACCCAAGCATTGGCTTCCTGAGATCAACGTATAGACACAGATGAAAATATGTGACTTAAGAATAAAACATGAACATATGTCATTTGTGAAACTGAATCAGATGAGAAAACAACAGCATGTGAGCGAGGCTGCAGGCCCGGCAGGTATGTTGTTTCATTCCTTCTCGGCTTCCAGTGTCACTCCAAGGTGTATTGAGCAATACTGAATTTGTATGAATATTGCTAAAATGACACGGAATTCCCTAGACTGTAAATGGTATTTTTCTGACAATCTGTAGTGGTGAAAGTTGTCCACTTTGATGGGCAGGGCATTATGTTTTACATTCATCGGGAAATGAATGCAATAACATATGACCAGTTGAGCCAGTCAGAATGCATGAGTAACAAGGAACACAATGTAAATGTAATTATTATGGAAAGTCACAACCTTCTGTATATAAGCAGACGGCCCAGCACTACATAATAGAAACACCAGAAATTCCTGTGTGGCAAATCTGAACCACTGACCTATGGATACCTTGACTGAAATGAATGAAACATGATTTGGGCTGGAGATTTGACGATTATGTAAACAGAAATGATGACATGCCTGGCAGAAGATGTTTAGCTGTAATATGAACAGTGGTGGTGACAAGCCTGATGTGAAGGCTTGTTTATCTCTGACCCGAATGTTATGATGCTTGTTGAGAATTGGATCAAGTTTCAAGCGCATGCTTACTCCATGATGGCCAGCTGATGGCAGTGTCCAGACAGGACTATGTAGCGTTGTACATCAAATGTCCTCACTGACTGCTGCTGGGGGGACAGGTTCTGCCAGACATGAACAAACCAGTGTCGGAGTGAAAACTGCTTCTTAGACCGTAGGGCTGATTAATTAAGGTAATTGCTCAGAAAAAGGAAGCTGGAGGCCGAACATACCGACATGTTCTTGTGTAGTGTCTGTATTCCCTCAGTATGTCCCACTACCCGTTGATGTTCTTGTGTAGTGGCCGTATTCCCTCAGTATGTCCCACTACCCGTTGATGTTCTTGTGTAGTGGCCAGATTCCCTCAGTATGTCCCACTACCCGCTTGATGTTCTTGCAGTAGTGGCCAGTATGTCCCACTCAGTATGTCCCACTACCCCTCGTTGATGTTCTTGTGTAGTGGCCGTATTCCCTCAGTATGTCCCACTACTTGTTGATGTTCTTGTGTAGTGGCCGTATTCCCTCAGTATGTCCCACTACCCGTTGATGTTCTTGTGTAGTGGCCGTATTCCCTCAGTATGTCCCACTACCCGTTGATGTTCTTGTGTAGTGGCCGTATTCCCTCAGTATGTCCCACTACCCGTTGATGTTCTTGTGTAGTGGCCGTATTCCCTCAGTATGTCCCACTACCCGTTGATGTTCTGTGTAGTGGCCGTATTCCCTCAGTATGTCCCACTACCGTTGATGTTCTTGTGTAGTGGCCAGATTCCCTCAGTATGTCCCACTACCCGTTGATGTTCTTGTGTAGTGGCCGTATTCCCTCAGTATGTCCCACTACTTGTTGATGTTCTTGTGTAGTGGCCGTGATTCCTCAGTATGTCCCACTACCCGTTGATGTTCTTGTGTAGTGGCCGTATTCCCTCAGTATGTCCCACTACCCGTTGATGTTCTTGTGTAGTGGCCGTATTCCCTCAGTATGTCCCACTACCCGTTGATGTTCTTGTGTAGTGGCCGTATTCCCTCAGTATGTCCCACTACCCGTTGATGTTCTTGTGTAGTGGCCGTATTCCCTCAGTATGTCCCACTCACCCGTGTTGATGTTCTTGTGTAGTGGCCGTATTCCCTCAGTATGTCCCACTACCCGTTGATGTTCTTGTGTAGTGGCCGTGTATTCCCTCAGTATGTCCCACTACCCGTTGATGTTCTTGTGTAGTGGCCGTCAGTATTCCCCTCAGTATGTCCCACTACTTGTTGATGTTCTTGTGTAGTGGCCGTATTCCCTCAGTATGTCCCACTACCCGTTGATGTTCTTGTGTAGTGGCCGTGATTCCCCTCAGTATGTCCCACTACCCGTTGATGTTCTTGTGTAGTGGCCGTGATTCCCTCAGTATGTCCCACTACCCGCTGATGTTCTTGTGTAGTGGCCAGATTCCCTCAGTATGTCCCACTACCCGTTGATGTTCTTGTGTAGTGGCCGTATTCCTCAGTATGTCCCACTACCCGTTGATGTTCTTGTGTAGTGGCCGATTCCCTCAGTATGTCCCACTACCCGTTGATGTTCTTGTGTAGTGGCCGTATTCCCTCAGTATGTCCCACTACCCGTTGATGTTCTTGTGTAGTGGCCGTATTCCCTCAGTATGTCCCACTACCCGTTGATGTTCTTGTGTAGTGGCCGAGATTCCCCAGTATGTCCCACTACCCGTTGATGTTCTTGTGTAGTGGCCAGATTCCCTCAGTATGTCCCACTACCCGTTGATGTTCTTGTGTAGTGGCCGTATTCCCTCAGTATGTCCCACTACTTGTTGATGTTCTTGTGTAGTGGCCGTATTCCCTCAGTATGTCCCACTACCCGTTGATGTTCTTGTGTAGTGGCCGTATTCCCTCAGTATGTCCCACTACCCGTTGATGTTCTTGTGTAGTGGCCGTATTCCCTCAGTATGTCCCACTACTTGTTGATGTTCTTGTGTAGTGGCCGTATTCCCTCAGTATGTCCCACTACCCGTTGATGTTCTTGTGTAGTGGCCGTATTCCCTCAGTATGTCCCACTACTTGTTGATGTTCTTGTGTAGTGGCCGTATTCCCTCAGTATGTCCCACTACCCGTTGATGTTCTTGTGTAGTGGCCGTATTCCCCTCAGTATGTCCCACTACCCGTTGATGTTCTTGTGTAGTAGTGGCCGTATTCCCACAGTATGTCCACTACACTACTTGTTGATGTTCTTGTGTAGTGGCCGTATTCCCTCAGTATGTCCCACTACCCGTTGATGTTCTTGTGTAGTGGCCGTATTCCCTCAGTATGTCCCACTACTTGTTGATGTTCTTGTGTAGTGGCCGTATTCCCTCAGTATGTCCCACTACCCGTTGATGTTCTTGTGTAGTGGCCGTATTCCCTCAGTATGTCCCACTACTTGTTGATGTTCTTGTGTAGTGGCCGTATTCCTCAGTATGTCCCACTACCCGCTGATGTTCTTGTGTAGTGGCCGTATTCCCTCAGTATGTCCCACTACTTGTTGATGTTCTTGTGTAGTGGCCGTATTCCCTCAGTATGTCCCACTACCCGTTGATGTTCTTGTGTAGTGGCCGTATTCCCTCAGTATGTCCCACTACTTGTTGATGTTCTTGTGTAGTGGCCGTATTCCCTCAGTATGTCCCACTACCTGTTGATGTTCTTGTGTAGTGGCCGTGATTTCCCTCAGTATGTCCCACTACCCGTTGATGTTCTTGTGTAGTGGCAGATTCCTCAGATTCCCTCAGTATGTCCCACTGTCCCACTACCTGTTGATGTTCTTGTGTAGTGGCCGTATTCCCTCAGTATGTCCCACTACTTGTTGATGTTCTTGTGTAGTGGCCGTATTCCCTCAGTATGTCCCACTACCCGTTGATGTTCTTGTGTAGTGGCCGTATTCCCTCAGTATGTCCCACTACCCGTTCATGTATAAGAGGCCAGTACATTGCAAAACTGTGCATTTGTTAGCAAGTATGATAGCATGCATTTACTTACAGTATCACATTGATAAACAGTACTAAATGCACAAATTGCTCCATGCACAATATATTACTCTCAAGTATTTGATTGTAAAGACTGCCCCAAAGTTTTGAAGTCTAGGCCAAGCTGTCCCTGGTGAAGTTGCTCAGAATTAGGGGATGTTGGCATCAGCTGTCCATGAAGCTGATGCTGACACCAACAACTATCAGTTGATTCCATTATCTTGCTGTTGTCACAGTTATTATATGCTTGTCTCTGTTTTTGGCTCATGACTGCCAACTGGTATGTATCTGAATGTGTTCAAGCTGTAGTGAATGTAATCTGACCAAGCCGTAGGTCTCCCAACTAGTAGTGAGGAACCCCCTCCCCCAGGCTCAACAAGGCTGAACTGAAGCTGGCCCTGTTGGCAAGAAGCCAACTGTCAGTGAGTGGTGTTTTGGCTGTCAATGGCTTCCCTGTGAGAGACCATCGTGTGTCAGTTGTAGTGAGAATGTGGATGTGTGAGCTTCCTCTCACCAGTGTATAGTGCAGCAGCAGACAGGGTGCCCCGTGCAGCCCGGCTCACCTCCCAGCCAGGTCAACACAGTACATGGGAGGAGGGGGAAGATGTGGAGGTAGGGGGGACCTCCTCTCCCTGGACATCCCAGATGTTCCTAGTCAGCTACAGCATCGTGTGTAGACTACATCGTGTGCTTCATCATGGTCACTGCAGGAGGACCTGATCACAGTTCACAAGTCTCATCATAGTACAGATGTCTGTTTCATCCTGGATATTTTATGACCTTTGCTCTTTTAGTTTTGTATGTGTGTAAGAGTATGATGAGAGAGTGAATTTTTTATAGGCATTGCTTTGAGCACTATTCCAGCTACACCAACATTGTACATGTGTGGGGAATTACATCCAGGCGTGCAGCATGTGCAGCATGTGCAGCATAGTGACCAATTGCTTAACATTAGACTCCCACTGTGTATACATATACAATTCCTACACTGTATACATGTTGAAGAGGGAATATCATGATGTCCATGATGCTGGACACAAACGCAGATCAGATTTCAATATTCCTGGTAATCCTTTTCCTGAAAATCAACTCTGTGATTGTGTTGTGGTTGAGTTTCTCATGGCCATGTGGCATGATCTGTAGTATTTGTATGTGATGATGTCATGTTTTACTTGCAGGTAAACCAGGGGCAGATAACTCCACCATGCACTGATCAACTAGGCCATCTGCTTTTCACGTTTTCACCTGCTGTTTGGGTCCTCAAACAAAATGGCGGATGTGAGTAAAGTGTTCAAGATAAAGAAGGGCAGGGAATGCAGTATATATCCTGTGTATCATGTATGGTTATTTTTGCATCCTAATCATTAATGGGCTGGACAAAACTGATGATTGTGCAATCTTGTTTTGATGAGTAGTCAGCATGTGCAGGGTTAAAATATGTGAAAAAACTTCTACTGGACAAGTACGTATACCAGTTGCAACAATCCATCCCTAAACAATTTCAATAAAATATGCAGAAACCTCCAGTATGTTTTCATATCTTTCATCATAATAATAACAAAATGTCACTCATGTCATATACAGACTGCATGCTTGGCAACTGTCTAGAAACAGACAAAAGTGCATTTAAAGCAGGTAACGAAACTTGTTCCTAACACTGAGGTAAATATATTTGTGATGTTTTGTTGTAAGTGACATATAATGGCACTCCAGTGTGAAAGCAATAGTGAATGATTTGTGGCAGTTAAGGGGTGGATGAGTTGATGAAGAAACTCATGATTTCATTACCAAACATGCAAAGGAATCATTTTGTAGTAAAGGAAGTAAAACAACCAGAGCAAGATGCATGGTTGAGTAAGTTTGAACAGTTGGAGACGAATGTAGATGATATAGTGACCAAAGTGTTTTGTTCCATCATCAATCACAGAGAATGGTAATAGTCACAAAGGACATAAAACTTTGAACATTTAACCCAGGAACAGAAAATATTGCAGAATGAGTACAAAATTAGAAATACTGTCATGCATTACAAGTTAGGTTCAACAAATGTTTCGAGCCCTGTTGTGATGTTTTTTAACTGTCTGTATTAACTGACTGAACATATACCCACCATATTGTAAACCAATCACTGACTTTGGTAGACATTTCATAGATCATGCTTTACTTTGACAATATGAAAATCTATGATAACACTGATGAATGTTTCCCATATTTTAGCAGTCTGCCATTCACCATACACTGACTGATTTGTTGATTACAGAACATGAACAAGGAGTTATTCCTTGACATCCTCACTAAAGAGGAAAAAGAGGCTCTTCTCACAAAGAAAATGGAGGAAATTCGCAAAAAGAATGATGCTCTCCGCAAGAGACATGAGGTTTGTCCTTTGTTTAATATGAACAACACTAGTGAATAACAAAGATGAGTGGTGGTTGTTATTTTGTTAAATATGAACAACACTAGTGAATAACGAAGATGAGTGGTGGTTGTTATTTGTTTAGTATGAACAACACTAGTGAATAACGAAGATGAGTGGTGGTTGTTATTTGTTTAGTATGAACAACACTAGTGAATAACAAAGATGAGTGGTGGTTGTTATTTGTTTAGTATGAACAACACTAGTGAATAACAAAGATGAGTGATGGTTGGTTGTTATTTTGTTTAATATGAACAACACTAGTGAATAACAAAGATGAGTGGTGGTTGTTATTTGTTTAGTATGAACAACACTAGTGAATAACAAAGATGAGTGGTGGTTGTTATTTGTTTAGTATGAACAACACTAGTGAATAACAAAGATGAGTGGTGGTTGTTATTTGTTTAATATGAACAACACTAGTGAATAACAAAACACTAGATGAAGTGAGTGGTTTGTTATTTGTTTAGTATGAACAACACTAGTGAATAACAAAGATGAGTGGTGGTTGTCATTTTGTTTAATATGAACAACACTAGTGAATAACAAAGATGAGTGGTGGTTGTTATTTGTTTAATATGAACAACACTAGTGAATAACAAAGATGAGTGGTGGTTGTTATTTGTTTAGTATGAACAACACTAGTGAATAACAAAGATGAGTGGTGGTTGTTATTTGTTTTAGTATGAACAACACTAGTGAATAACAAAGATGAGTGGTGGTTGTTATTTGTTTAGTATGAACAACACTAGTGAATAACAAAGATGAGTGGTGGTTGTTATTTGTTTAGTATGAACAACACTAGTGAATAACAAAGATGAGTGGTGGTTGTTATTTGTTTAATATGAACAACACTAGTGAATAACAAAGATGATGAGTGGTGGTTGTTATTTTGTTTAATATGAACAACACTAGTGAATAACAAAGATGAGTGGTGGTTGTTATTTTGTTTAATATGAACAACACTAGTGAATAACAAAGATGAGTGGTGGTTGTTATTTGTTTAGTATGAACAACACTAGTGAATAACAAAGATGAGTGGTGGTTGTTATTTGTTTAGTATGAACAACACTAGTGAATAACGAAGATGAGTGGTGGTTGTTATTTGTTTAGTATGAACAACACAAGTGAATAACAAAGATGAGTGGTGGTTGTCATTTTGTTTAATATGAACAACACTAGTGAATAACAAAGATGAGTGGTGGTTGTTATTTGTTTAATATGAACAACACTAGTGAATAACAAAGATGAGTGATGGTTGTTATTTTGTTTAATATGAACAACACTAGTGAATAACAAAGATGAGTGGTGGTTGTTATTTGTTTAGTATGAACAACACTAGTGAATAACAAAGATGAGTGGTGGTTGTTATTTGTTTAATATGAACAACACTAGTGAATAACAAAGATGAGTGATGGTTGTTATTTGTTTAATATGAACAACACTAGTGAATAACAAAGATGAGTGGTGGTTGTCATTTTTTATTCACCAGGCATCTAATGGATATAGTCAACGCCTCGTCCGTCTATCCGTCCGTCCGTCCGTCCGTCCGTCCGTCCGTCCGTAATCATTTTGCTTCCAGAGCATAACTCAGAAACTGTTCAATATTTTTCGACAAAAGTTGGTAGATATATCAAACAGAACCTAAGGTGGTGCCTTTTGCTATTTACAGATTTTTCCATTTTTATTTTCCCGGTTTCCATGGAAACGTTTTGGATTTAGTCTTAAAGGATGGGTGGGCTTCGTTTCCGGAGCATAACTCAAGAACCGTTCAATATTTTTCAACACAACTTTCTAGATATATCAAACAGAACCTTAAGTGGTGCCTTTTGCTATTTGCAGATTTTTGGCATTTTTATTTTTCCCAGTTTCCATGGAAACGATTCGGACTTAGTCCCAAAAGGGAGGGGTGAGTTTCGTTTCCGGAGAACAACTCGAAAACTTCTTAATATCTTTCAGCATAACTTGGTAGATATGTGAAGCAGATCCCAAAGTGGTGCCTTTTGCTGTTTGCAGATTTTTGTGATTTATTTATTATTTTTTTAGTCTCAAAAGGGAGGGTGGGTTTCTTTTCGGGAGAACTCAAAACCTTCTAAATATCTTTCAGTTTCCATGGAAATTATTCAGACTTAGTCTCAAAAGGCTGTTTGCAGATTTTTGGGTGGGTTTCTTTTCAGACTTAGTCTCAAAAGGAGAACTCAAAACCTTCTAAATATCTTTCAGCAAAACTTGGCAGATATGTGAGGCAGATGCCAAAGTGGTGGCTTTTGCTGTTTGCAGATTTTTGTGATTTATTATTTTTTTCGGTTTCCATGGAAATTATTCAGATTTAGTCTCAAAAGTGAGGGGTGGGTCTCATTTCGGGAGAAGAACTCAAAACCTTCTTAATATCTTTCAGCAAAACTTGGCAGATATGTAAGGCAGATGCCAAAGTGGTGGCTTTTGCTATTTGACAGAATTTTGGCATATTTATTTTTTCCCGGTTTCCATGGAAACGATTCAGACTTAGTCCCAAAAGGGAGGGGTGGGCTTCATTTCCGTAGCACAGCTTTAAAAGCGTTCAATATCTTTCAACAGAACTTGGCAGATATATTAGGCCAATTTTGAAATGGTGCCTTTTGCTAGTTACAGATTTTTGGCATTTATATTACTCATGATTTCCGTGGAAATGATTCGGACTTAGTCTAAAACAAATCAAGCTGGACTTTAAGTAACTGTCAGATGATTTGTTCTTTCAAATTTGTAGGGGCCGGGGGGATATGTCATATTCTGATGACTCTTGTTTAATATGAACAACACTAGTGAATAACAAAGATTAGTGATGGTTATTTGTTGACAGGTTATGGTGAGTTTTCATATAATTATGAGAGGTGAATGTCTTTGTTTTGCAAAATGCCAGCCAGTCCTTGTAAAATATCTGTCTTTTCTTGCAGGAAATAGAAGCGGATAAAAGAGTTGCCGCCAAAAACAACCCCAATAAAGATGTCAACTCCTATACCAGGGAAGCTTCAAGCTCTGGGTCATCGTCCCCGCAGAAGGAATCTAAGGTAGGGCAAAACACAATAGGAACAGATTCATGCCTGCTTGTGGTCGTCTACAGCAGGTAGTAAGTAAATATTGACACTATGACAGCAATTTCACACTTGACTGAGAGTATGACAATACTCGCTGTTAGGGTATGATGTGTAGCTGAAATGTTGAGTGTAACTTTCATGGACTGTCCTCATGGAGGTTCCTAATTATCCCCCGCAATGCGTTTTGCGGGGGGTATTAAAATGGACTCCGTCCGTGTGTGCGTCCATCCGGACGTCCGTCCGTGCACATTTGTCTTTTCCGGAGCAGAACTCTAAAACCGTTCAATATTTCTTCACCAAACTTGGCACATACATGGATCTGGTGGTGTACTGGTGCCTTTTGGTAGTTTTGGAATTCTGAATAAAATAATTTTGGTGTTTCCGTGGCAACAAGTTCGACTTAGACTGATATTAGTAGTAGTGCTCTTTTCCGAAGCAGAACTCTCAAACCGTTCAATATTTCTTCACCAAACTTGGCACATAGATAGATCTTGTGGTGTACTGGTGCCTTTTGGTAGTTTTGGAATTCTGAAAGAAATATTTTTGGCGTTTCCATGGCAACAAGTTTGATTTAGACTGAAATTGGTGGTTGTGCTCTTTTCCAGAGCAGAACTCTAAAACCGTTCAATGTTTCTTCACCAACTTGGCACATACATAGATCTGGTTGTGTACTGGTGCCTTTTGGTAGTTTTTGGAATTCTTAATAAAATATTTTTGGCATTTCCATGGCAACAAGTTTGACTAAAACTGAAATTAGTGGCAGTGCTCTTTTCTGGAGCAGAACTCTAAAACTGTTCAATGTTTCTTCACCAAACTTGGCACATACATAGATTTGGTGGTGTACTGGTGCCTTTTGGTAGTTTTGGATTTCTGAATAAAATATTTTTGGCATTTCCATGGCAACAAGTTTGACTTAGACTGAAATTGGTGATAGTGCTCCTTTCTGGAGCAGAACTTTAAAAACCTTTCAATACTCTCCTTCCACTTTTCTATATACACACCTAAATATTTGACATAATCATAACTCGTAGACATATTCCTGAAGAGTATTTTGCCATTGCGGGGGATATTGATGACTTTGTCTTCTTGTTTCAACATAATCCAGGGTCCACACATATCCAATCAGGATAATGGAGTGCCTGAAAGCCGCTGAGGTAGAAGGCTTCCTCCGGGGAACTGTCTCGCCTGAACTTTTGGGAGGAAGTCCTTTTGAATTCTTTTGGTTTCCAAGAATCTCCTGACCTACTCATGGAAAACTCTTTGCTTTCCTTGTTGGATGAAACATTAGTTGTTCAACTGCTTTGGCCTTTGTTTAGTCTCAAGCGGATAGTGGTCAATCAAAGAATAATCCGTGGTTACAAAAGTTACCATGGTTCTTCAAAATGACTTAAATGATCATCAGAGGATGTAAATTTCTTTTAGATTTCAGAAGATTTGGAACAAGCTATGTGATATTCAAATGAATCCCATATACTTTGTCATTTGTTTTACTTAGTGGTGACTTTTGAAAGCCTTCCCTTTTATGGATCATCTCATAGGTTCACTTCCACCCTTGAACGCCACCCCTACAGTTTCCAGCCACCCCTTGTACACTGATCAGTAAAGCAGGTGACACACCACCTCATCCTCAGTTATCTCCTACAAGTATTGACTCATGGGCACCTGCTCTACCTTGTACACTGAACAGTAAAGCAGGCTACACACCACCTCATCCTCAGTTATCTCCTACAAGTATTGACTCATGGGCACCTGCTCTACCTTGTACACTGAACAGTAAAGCAGGCGACACACCACCTCATCCTCAGTTATCTCCTACAAGTATTGACTCATGGGCACCTGCTCTACCTTGTACACTGAACAGTAAAGCAGGTGACACACCACCTCATCCTCAGTTATCTCCTACAAGTATTGACTCATGGGCACCTGCTCTACCTTGTACACTGAACAGTAAAGCAGGTGACACACCACCTCATCCTCAGTTATCTCCTACAAGCATTGACTCAATGGGCACCTGCTCTACCTTGTACACTGAACAGTAAAGCAGGCGACACACCACCTCATCCTCAGTTATCTCCTACAAGTATTGACTCATGGGCACCTGCTCTACCTTGTACACTGAACAGTAAAGCAGGCGACACACCACCTCATCCTCAGTTATCTCCTACAAGCATTGACTAATGGGCACCTGCTCTACCTTGTACACTGAACAGTAAAGCAGGTGACACACCACCTCATCCTCAGTTATCTCCTACAAGTATTGACTCATGGGCACCTGCTCTACCTTGTACACTGAACAGTAAAGCAGGTGACACACCCTCATCCTCAGTTATCTCCTACAAGTATTGACTCATGGGCACCTGCTCTACCTTGTACACACTGAACAGCAAAGCAGGTGACACACCACCTCATCCTCAGTTATCTCCTACAAGTATTGACTCATGGGCACCTGCTCTACCTTGTACACTGAACAGTAAAGCAGGTGACACACCACCATCCTCAGTTATCTCCTACAAGTATTGACTCATGGGCACCAGCTCTACCTTGTACACTGAACAGAAAGCAGGTGACACCCACCTCATCCTCAGTTATCTCCTACAAGTATTGACTCATGGGCACCTGCTCTACCTTGTACACTGAACAGTAAAGCAGGTGACACACCACCTCATCCTCAGTTATCTCCTACAAGTATTGACTCATGGGCACCTGCTCTACCTTGTACACTGAACAGTAAAGCAGGTGACACCCCACCTCATCCTCAGTTATCTCCTACAAGTATTGACTCAATGGGCACGTTGCTCTACCTTGTACACTGAACAGTAAAGCAGGTGACACCCCACCTCATCCTCAGTTATCTCCTACAAGTATTGACTCATGGACACCTGCTCTACCTTGTACACTGAACAGTAAAGCAGGTGACACACCACCTCATCCTCAGTTATCTCCTACAAGTATTGACTCATGGGCACCTGCTCTACCTTGTACACTGAACAGTAAAGCAGGTGACACCCCACCTCATCCTCAGTTATCTCCTACAAGTATTGACTAATGGGCACGTGCTCTACCTTGTACACTGAACAGTAAAGCAGGTGACACACCACCTCATCCTCAGTTATCTCCTACAAGTATTGACTCATGGGCACCTGCTCTACCTTGTACACTGAACAGTAAAGCAGGTGACACACCACCTCATCCTCAGTTTTCTCCTACAAGTATTGACTCATGGACATCTGCTCTACCTTGTACACTGAACAGTAAAGCAGGTGACACACCACCTCATCCTCAGTTATCTCCTACAAGTATTGACTCATGGGCACCTGCTCTACCTTGTACACTGAACAGTAAAGCAGGTGACACACCACCTCATCCTCAGTTATCTCCTACAAGTATTGACTCATGGGCACCTGCTCTACCTTGTACACTGAACAGTAAAGCAGGTGACACACCACCTCATCCTCAGTTATCTCCTACAAGTATTGACTCATGGGCACCTGCTCTCTACCTTGTACACTGAACAGTAAAGCAGGTGACACACCACCTCATCCTCAGTTATCTCCTACAAGTATTGACTAATGGACACCTGCTCTACCTTGTACACTGAACAGTAAAGCGGCGTGACCTCATCCTCAGTTATCTCCTACAAGTATTGACTCATGGGCACCTGCTCTACCTTGTACACTGAACAGTAAAGCAGGTGACACACCACCTCATCCTCAGTTATCTCCTACAAGTATTGACTCATGGGCACCTGCTCTACCTTGTACACTGAACAGTAAAGCAGGTGACACACCACCTCATCCTCAGTTATCTCCTACAAGTATTGACTCATGGGCACCTGCTCTACCTTGTACACTGAACAGTAAAGCAGGCTGACACACCACCTCATCCTCAGTTATCTCCTACAAGTATTGACTCATGGGCACCTGCTCTACCTTGTACACTGAACAGTAAAGCAGGTGACACACCACCTCATCCTCAGTTATCTCCTACAAGTATTGACTCATGGGCACCTGCTCTACCTTGTACACTGAACAGTAAAGCAGGTGACACACCACCTCATCCTCAGTTATCTCCTACAAGTATTGACTCATGGGCACCTGCTCTACCTTGTACACTGAACAGTAAAGCAGGTGACACACCACCTCATCCTCAGTTATCTCCTACAAGTATTGACTCATGGGCACCTGCTCTACCTTGTACACTGAACAGTAAAGCAGGTGACACACCACCTCATCCTCAGTTATCTCCTATATTGACTCATGGGCACCTGCTCTACCTTGTACACTGAACAGTAAAAGCAGGTGACACACCACCTCATCCTCAGTTATCTCCTACAAGTATTGACTCCTGGACACCTGCTCTACCTTGTACACTGAACAGTAAAGCAGGTGACACACCACCTCATCCTCAGTTATCTCCTACAAGTATTGACTCATGGGCACCTGCTCTACCTTGTACACTGAACAGTAAAGTAAAGCAGGTGACACACCACCTCATCCTCAGTTATCTCCTACAAGTATTGACTCATGGGCACCTGCTCTACCTTGTACACTGAACAGTAAAGCAGGTGACACACCACCTCATCCTCAGTTATCTCCTACAAGTATTGACTCATGGACACCTGCTCTACCTTGTACACTGAACAGTAAAGCAGGTGACACACCACCTCATCCTCAGTTATCTCCTTCAAGTATTGACTCATGGACACCTGCTCTACCTTGTACACTGAACAGTAAAGCAGGTGACACCCCACCTCATCCTCAGTTATCTCCTACAAGTATTGACTCATGGGCACGTGCTCTACCTTGTACACTGAACAGTAAAGCAGGTGACACACCACCTCATCCTCAGTTATCTCCTACAAGTATTGACTCATGGGCACGTGCTCTACCTTGTACACTGAACAGTAAAGCAGGTGACACACCACCTCATCCTCAGTTATCTCCTACAAGTATTGACTCATGGGCACGTGCTCTACCTTGGCAGTTCTTCGAATCTTGTAGCTGCAGTAGTTTCAATACATGTCAGTTATCAGTGCCTCCTGATATTCAGATATGGTTACTGATAATATATGTTTAAAACAGAAGAATCTTTGAAGTCCACATGACGTATTATGGCACTGGACAGTGTCTAATATATATATGACGTATTATGGCACTGGACAGTGTCTCATATATATATGACGAATTATGGCACTGGACAGTGTCTAATATATATATGACGTATTACTGATTTGGCCAAATTAGCGACACAAATACACTGTTGAGTTCTTGGATTATTGAATGCAGATAGGACATTTTTAGAAGCAGTGATTGTGATAATGAATACTTATTGTGTTGTAGGATTCAGTGGAATATAGCAACCTTGATCATTGGTGTTGCAAACTACCAGCTTTGGATCATTTATTTTCCCTTATCCTGACTCATATTGTTTGTTTTTTTCTCCTTTGACCCGAAATATAGTGGACACACTGCGTTTTGTTCCCCAAGGTCAGTGAAAACATCTCACTCAAACACAAAAAAAATATGTCATCGCAGAAGGTCAGGTTTGAAAGACTGTTCAAGTACAGCCATCAACTTGGTGGGAGAGGGATGACTTATTGCAGTGTTGCATACAGGTTGCGTGATTTTGGGATTCCCCCCTATTAACCTACATCTCCCGCAAAAAATGAAAATCGATGCACAACCTGTCACGCAATGTTTAAATGACCACGTATCTATCATATTGTGTCAACTCACCCACCTGCATAACGTGTGGGTCTCGTGGACGCATTTACGTATTGCAAGTCAAAAGTGTCTTTTTTAAATACATAAACAAGACTGCGAATCATGTGGATAAACCTATATTTTTCCTATCACTGCATCAGAATCCATCTCGAAAATCACCGGTAGATCGCGGGGGACGTGTGCACAGCTGATTGCTATTTCCAGCTCTGTATATGAGACAAATACACAAGGTGATCTTAAACCCTGCATATATAATACTAGGGAAAGCAAAAACAAATTAGAACTGAAATGGTAAACAATCATGTCTAGTGATGTTTATTTGCAAATTTACTGTCTTTACTGACAAAGTTGTCTTCTCTTGTTCGTTCACGCAAAGCAATATATCATGTTGTTTTCTTACCCCCTGAAAAAAAAGGTGTCCTCCCATTCTTCCAACTCTTGAGTAGAGGGATTATTTCCCCAGTGGTTAACATCATGAACATCGATCTATGCAGTTGGGATATGGTTGCCATTATTCTGACCTCACCAAACAAATGTCTTTTTGTCATTGTAAACTGTAGAATGTTGAGATAAACCCACTTTCTGTTCTGTTTGAAGGTCATGTTTGAATTTGAAACTTGCAACTTTCTTTTCACGTTACACACTACAATATCCTCCTAAACGAAGTTTGACTCATGTGATGTCAGACAATTACATGTTTTGTTTTGGAATGCAGTCTCTACCTGGGGAAGACAGACGTGGACCCCGCCCCAAGTCAGGAGGGAGGGGCAAGCCTCAGGTAGGCGGGAAGAGCAAGGAAAAGAAGCCACAGGTTAGGTGATATTGCTGAATAACAGGAAAAGTTCATCTTTGCATTGTGCTGCTCGTTATCAACTTTACATATACTGGCTGCAAAAGCAATTCATTTTTTTCTCAGATATCAATATCAACAGGAGTGAACATGGGTGGTGCACAGGGGGAGTCCACCTTGGGTGGTGCACAGGGGGTAGTCAACAGATGTAGTCAACATGGGTGGTGCACAGGGGGTAGTCAACAGATGTAGTCAGCATGGGTGGTGCACAGGGGGTAGTGAACATGGGTGGTGCACAGGGGGTAGTCAACAGATGTAGTCAACATGGGTGGTGCACAGGGGGTAGTCAACAGATGTAGTCAACATGGGTGGTGCACATGGGTGGTCAACAGATGTAGTCAACATGGGTGGTGCACAGGGGGTAGTCAACAGATGTAGTCAACATGGGTGGTGCACATGGGTGGTCAACAGATGTAGTCAACACGGGTGGTGCACATGGATGGTCAACAGATGTAGTCAACATGGGTGGTGCACAGGGGGTAGTCAACAGATATAGTCAACAGGGCTGGTGCACAGGGGGTAGTCAACAGATGTTGTCCAGTTGTAGTCACCACCAAGGGGATGGCCCACAAGGGGTAATAAGCTGGGGTGGTTCAGAAGGATGGCGAGCAAGGGGTAGTCAGCTGGGGTGGTCCAGAAGGATGGCGAGCAAGGGGTAGTCAGCTGGGGTGGTTCAGAAGGTTGGCGATCAAGGGGTAGTCAGCTGGGGTGGTCCAGAAGGATGGCGAGCAAGGGGTAGTCGGCTGGGGTGGTTCAGAAGGATGGCGATCAAGGGGTAGTCAGCTGGGTGGTCTAGAAGGATGGCGGGCAAGGGTAGTCAGCTGGGGTGGTTCAGAAGGATGGCGAGCAAGGGGTAGTCAGCTGGGGTGGTCCAGAAGGATGGCGAGCAAGGGGTAGTCAGCTGGGGTGGTCCAGAAGGATGGCGAGCAAGGGGTAGTCAGCTGGGGTGGTTCAGAAGGATGGGGATCAAGGGGTAGTCAGCTGGGGTGGTTCAGAAGGATGGCGATCAAGGGGTAGTCAGCTGGGGTGGTTCAGAAGGATGGCAAGCAAGGGGTAGTCAGCTGGGGTGGTCCAGAAGGATGGCGAGCAAGGGCTAGTCAGCTGGGGTGGTTCAGAAGGATGGCAAGCAAGGGGTAGTCAGCTGGGTTGATCGGTGGCGTAGTCTTCAGGGGAGGTATTTCCTAAGCAGTGATGATGCATGATCCCCTCCATCCTAACTTGTTTAAGACCTGAACAGTGATTTGCATGAATAGGAATGGTGGAATTCTGCTTGATTCATGAAACATAAATCAAAAGACAAAATTCGAAAGGTTATTGCCATAATGATAATTAATTGTAGAACATGATTCAGACTGCATGTGTACAGTAGTTGTAGGAGATTTCTGGGCATATACTTGTGCCAACATTAAACATGACAAACCCCAGTTACAGTTGTAGATACGTTGTTTCTGCATCAGTGACGTGATTTGATGACAGCATTATGCATTTATTTACTCTGCTAGTTGTGAGGAGAGAGTATCCTTTTCACCACGTACATGTATTAAGTGAGACTTCCAGGCAGCGTCTCATGTGGACCTAGTTTACCACGTTGTGATGGTTGGAAACAAAGGAAGGTTTGTAGACCATCCAAGACAAGGCTAATAATGCTGATGAGGTATAGCTATATATGATAACAGTTCATCATCAAATCATTGATCACTTCAAACCTGTGTACATAGGCTTTGTTTGTTACTCGGATTTTTATGTCAATATGTTTACATACTGTGTTCATTCCTAACATCAGTAGTAGAATATAAGGCAAAATATGATGTTAACAATAGATTGAGTAGGTGATAAGACCCACTCAGTCTACTGTTAAAACATCAGCTACCCTTTTGACTCAATTAGCTTCCATCACTTACCCACTTAATCTACTGTAACAACACTATATCTGCTGTTGTATATCATTCCATTTCATCTCATAATCCCCTGTTTATTGTATATATACATGCTTAAATTCACTCCGGCTTCATGTACATTACTAGTATATATATCCTGTATAACTGTTAGTTACCATTCACCTGACAAAGGGGCAAGGAAAAGCCCAGAAACATTGAAGTCCAGAAGAAGTTGACATTTTAATATTTTGCCTTATGCTTGAATGCCAACTTCTATATGCCTCTCAAGAACCTCATCAGTAATAGATATCTAACAAGTGTCATTGCTGGTACATATGGCATTGAGTGTAGTGCACATTCTCAACAAAACTATGTACACAGGTGTCTGTCCCCTGCATGCTGCCTGTCTACTAACTGGCATGTCACTCTCATCCCATCCATAGCAAGGCGTATTTCGAGTCATACGGTGGGAACCCCACTCTGGTGAAGTTGACATCACTGAGGATGATGCTAATGATGGTGGTGATGAAGGGGATGGGATGACCAGACGCCCTCCTTCCAAATTCCACTCAGATCCACCTGAAGCAGAGCAGATAGAGGATATCGAGGAGGGGGAAGCATGACATGAGGACCATCCCTGCCAAGAGGAACAGACGACCACAGATCACCTCAAAGAACCATGAAGAGATGGCCCAAAGGAGAGATCGCCTCATACCCTCAGGTCGACCCCAGAGAGGATCGAGCAAGCTGGGACCAGAAGATGTGAGTCCACAGGTCCAGTGCAGGATGACAGGCAGTGTGGAAGTGTTAGGGCCCCTTCATCATGCACTGTAGTCCTTATAGCGCTTCCTGTCCCGCTCTGGTCACTGTAGTGACACTCAGTAATTGGGTAACATTCGACAGATTGCACACATGGAGGTATACAATCTGAGTTTTCTATCACTTTACATTCCCCTATATATTCTGTTCCAGTAGCTTCATTATCATTACAGAGTGATGCAATGTCTTACTTTCCTTTCTTATCACCATGGGCTAGGGTGAATCTGGTATTTACACACAAACTATTAACCAGTGTATTGGCTGTGCTTCGGCATGTGTCCTCCTTGCTGTATGTTCTTGTCTGGATGCTGCATAGTGTCTGAGCTGCCAGCATGCTGCTAGTGTGACCACTGTCTACACTCAGTGTGCAGACTGTGGAGACCTGCTTGCATCTGCTACAGGGAGCATGACTGGAATGTCACATACAATTATTGCCCTCATTGGACTGTTTGTGTCTTCATTTGGGGAATTGGTTACATGATATATGTTTTCTTTGCTTCACATTTGATTTGCACCTCGAAAGTTATTATTTCTCATTTTAGATTGATGAAAATTGAAATAAAGATGCAACTGTTTACATTACTATATGTTTTCATGGGCCAAAACGTAAAGACGAGTGTCAGACAACAAAGCTTTGTCATATGGTCATGTTGTGGAAGTTATAAATACAGAATTAACTGAAGCTGATATCCCCAAAATGGGACTTTTTTCACTGTAAATTCAGTATCTTGTTGATGCACTTGATAGGAGATCTGTAGCTGATGTGAATGGTCCTGGACCTCCTTTCACAAAGCACTAAGAAAACCTTAGTGCAATGTTAAAGAATGGGAGTTAAGGTTAACCTTAGTAAAGGTTGCTTCGTGAAAGGAGCCTCTGGTGTGCTGTTCCAGCATGTAATGTTTTCCTACTTGCACAGGGTCCACCTCCAGACCCCTCCTACAACTTCCTTGCTGACCGACGCAGAGAAGGGCCTGCCAAGGAATCTAACGGAGAAACTCCAGTGGAAAAAGTCCGCAAACCTGACACAAGACGACACCCCAAAAATTATGGGGGTCAAGACTTTAATAATGTCAAAACACAAATGAGAACAACCAAAGAACGCCAGGTAATAACTTAGTTACTGATTATGTGATCAGGTGGGTTTTTTTTAAAGAATTTTCCATTCAGATGTACCCCTTTGTGATTTCTCCTGTCTTTTGTGTGTGTCTGTGTGTGTGGTCAAATCAAGCATGTGGAAGAACTGACTTGAAAATGATTATGATATAATTATCTCCCGCCGCGCGTTTAGTGCGAAGCTAGATTCTTTTCATACTTGGTACCTAGGTTCATCACAGTATGCAAAAGGTCCCAGTCAGGTTTGGTGACCTTGACCTTCATTTCAAGGTTACACGGCTACTTTAACGTTTTACCCTTGTCAGCAAGAAATCTCAATTTTCAAGGTCACAGTGACACTTTGAAGGTTTCAGCATGTTAACGTACATGTTAAGCTTGTCAGCGAGATACCTCCAGAACCATTCAATGGATTTTCATCATATTTGACACCAGGGTGCAGGGCCCAGTTGATTTTGGTGACCTTCACTTAATTTTCTAGGTCACAGTGACACTTTTAAGATTTCAGCATGTTAACCTTGCATGTTAAGATTGTCAGCAAGATATCTCAAGAACAGTTCACTGGATTTTCTTCATAGACTTTCAAGACTTCTCTTGATATCAAGAGAGGTTGACTGGTCATGTGTTTGTTGACTTTGAACTTCATCTTAAACCACGACCTTCACTTTCATTTCTTTTTAAGTTTGATTTGATCATTTGCAGCGGGGGATTATGTCACCTTAGTGACAACTGCTTGTTCTGATTGTCCTTGGATAGAGCCAGGTTGTTATAGGGAATACAGTATATTCCAATCAACTACAGACAGTTCTATTCTGAACTGGGACATCTATGCACATCTGTATGCTTAACTTATATAAGTTTAACTTGGATAAGTATATATAGACTTTCTGAAGTGGGATCTGTCACATGTGATCTGTACTATGTGTTCTGTATGTTTCTTGGCCCACTGCATGTGTGTCAGGATGTGATCTGTACTATGTGTTCTGTACGTTTCTTGGCCCACTGCATGTGTGTCAGGATGTGATCTGTACTATGTGTTCTGTACGTTTCTTGGCCCACTGCATGTGTGTCAGGATGTGATCTGTACTATGTGTTCTGTACGTTTCTTGGCCCACTGCATGTGTGTCAGGATGTGATCTGTACTATGTGTTCTGTACGTTTCTTGGCCCACTGCATGTGTGTCAGGATGTGATCTGTACTATGTGTTCTGTACGTTTCTTGGCCCACTGCATGTGTGTCAGGATGTGATCTGTACTATGTGTTCTGTACGTTTCTTGGCCCACTGCATGTGTGTCAGGATGTGATCTGTGTACTATGTGTTCTGTACGTTTCTTGGCCCACTGCATGTGTGTCAGGATGTGATCTGTACTATGTGTTCTGTACGTTTCTGCATGTGTGTCAGGATGTGATGTACTATGTGTTCTGTTGCATGTGTGTCAGGATGTGATCTGTACTATATGTCTGGTATGTTGTGCGTTTGTTCTGGACGTTTCTTGGCCCACTGCATGTGTGTCAGGATGTGATCTGTACTATGTGTTCTGTACATTTCTTGGCCCACTGCATGCTTGTCAGGATGTGATCACATATGTTTAACACCATGATGATGTTATCTTGATGTTGTGGATGTAGTGTTGTGATCTTGTTCCAGGAACGTCCTAAGTCAGGACCCCCACGCACCAAGATGGAGCTTGCAATGGCGATGACAGGGAAAGAGCGGAAGCAGTATCTGGAGTGGAAAGCAGAACGCGACCGTGTGGACCAGGAGAGAATGGACCGCCAGAAATCGACATCAGGAGAGTGGCGGCGTGCGTGGGATGCTGATAAGAATCAGCAAGAGTAAGTGGTGTTGATCATATACATCCAGATAGTTTCACAGACCATATTCAAGTGTTGTCTATAAGTATTCTTCTTTCATGATCATAGTGACAAAAAACTTGGACATTTTGGTGTAATGAAATACCTGGTAAAACTATATGCTTCTTTAATTTGTTCTAGTTTCGAACAATCTTCAAGTCCACAGAGAACAGAGCCAGCCAAACGACCAGGTAGTTACATCTTTCTTGTGAGATTGAGTGAAAATTCCACGAAAATATCTTAGATACTTGACAATTGAAATATATAATTCCATTGAAAACCCTGCTTCTATTACCCGATAGCCATAAATTCCCAATGTTGGCTGTCATTACACTGTCAAATATTTATGTTTTCAAAGACATCCTGTTTGCTACTAACTTTCTCTGCAATAGTTTTGAAGTAAACCCTATTATCAGGTTATCCTCTCAGTGCTGGTGTCGAAACCATTTCACAGGAGACTATTTAATGACATCCCCCAAATCCCCAACTTGCAATAACTATTTACCAAGTAGGATTTACGTATCATTTGAAGTATCAATGGTATGCATAAATACTCAGATTTCAAAATATATAAACTTCAAGAAGTTTATGTACCTCAAATAGAAAATTTTGCAATTTAAAAATCGAATTTTCTCAACACCCAACTCCCCACAGCGGCAGTTGTTAACATCGGTCACTTCACACTGAGTGCTGGCAGTCTGGTATTTTCTTCATAATGAAATCCTTTTTTGGGGTCTTTAGTGAAAGAAAACACAGGAGTTCCTCACTATTTGAAAATGAGCAGATTTCGGTTGGATTAGTTATGAACAAACACAATCTGAATTGTTGATGTTCGGATGAATCTGAATGATCATGGAAAAAGTGGTAAACGTACAACTCTGCATGCATCGTGATGCATACAAGCTTTTTCTGATAGAGGACCTGTTGTACCCGATGAAACTAGATCTAGTGTAAGTACACATAGTGGTTTGATTTCTTGATATGATAGAGGACCTGTTGTACCCGATGAAACTAGATCTAGTGTAAGTACACATAGTGGTTTGATTTCTTGATATGATAGAGGACCTGTCGTCCCCGATGAAACTAGATCTAGTTTAAGTACACATAGTGGTTTGATTTCTTGATATGATAGAGGACCTGTCGTACCCAATGAAACTAGATCTAGTGTAAGTACATTTAGTGGTTTGATTTCTTGATATGATAGGATCAAGAAGTACTCATCGTCTAACTATATGAATTATCTATTGGGTATATCTATGTGGACATAAAACACATAAGTTCACCCTTTCTTTTACAAGTAGGAGCAATATTGAAACTAATTTTTAGTCTCAGAAAGTAGAGAGTTCAAAGTTTTAATTCAAAGTTCATATGACGTATGTCAGTCATAATGCCATCTTTATAAAAAGTTTTTAACTGGGACCCCATGCAAGGCTCAACTTAGAACCTGTTCCAACCAGAAACTGCGAAACCTCATATTGAAACCAGCTTGCACCCAGTGCTTGTGAATATTTTAGTGTACAAAGAACACAGCCTTCAAAAGAATACAGACGAACTGGCTTGGAGCAGTGATTGAATGACTGTTACTGTTTATGCCATGAAATCTTACATAGTAATATGAAATGATCTTATCGGATCCTTCACCTGATGAAGGAGCAAGCATACACTCCGAAACGTCATGTTATTCACAATAAAGAAGTTGACATCCATAAATCCTGCTTTTCTTTTTCAGATCCAGAATAATTTTGTTGTAAATTTTAGAGGCTTATATAATGAGCAGCAGGTGCAGACTGTTTTTGTCTGGTGCAACAAGGTTTTTACCTGAGGTTGGGCAAAATAGGTTTCATTTCATATATCGAGCCCTGCAATAAAATAGCACAGGCAAACTTTTGCTGTCCTTTTTTAGGCTAGTTTGTTCAGATTTTAATTTGCATTTTATATTTTCATACATATGTGGCACTGGCAATATCAAACACTTACAGATACTTAATTAAAAGAGTACTCAAGGTATGACATTTTTAAATTCAAAGAAGACTGTTCTTGACATTTTTTGTTTCATGATGGCAGAGGCGATTATATACAATATGGGTGATAGGAGCACATAACTGACACCTCAATAAACAGAAACAACATGGAACGTTGGTTAGACTGATTACACACTACTTGTATGTCATTGGTACTAAACTAGGAAACAATACTAAGCAGAAATCAGAACACGTAGGCTTATGTCTCTATTTCCCTGCTGCAAACTGTCTAGAATGACTGGATGTCTGATCCCTATTGTAAATCCTTACTTTGATGTAATGGAGGTAGAGTATATCAATACTGTGTCGATTATGTCAGGAAGTAGTCACTCTCACCTCCACAATTTATAGGTGTTTAGATAGTCAACATCATTGGAAGGAAGTGGCAATGTCCTGCTCCAATCAAGTTGCATTGTACCTCAAAACTAGTTTCTCAAAAAGTTGACAGTGAATATAGTATTGGATAATGTTTACAGTGTGATGACAACATGGGAACTTATGGCGTTGATGTTATACAGATAGTACTCGTAGATCTTTACACAGCGTTATCAAGTGTTTGATTTCTGTACAAGCGGACAATTATCAGTGATATTTGCTTGTTGACACTGTTTTCTGTGCCTGATTGTTGTAGTTAGAGAAAGTATCTGTGATAGGTAGCCTCACTGTGTCTGGTGCATGCTGCTTATAAGGGGGTCTGTAGTTATTGTAGAGATAGCCTTTGCCCAAGTCAGTCAGGTGCATCATACAGGTGATTTGCAACCTTCTTTAAACTAAGTTTAGGGACATTAAACCAGTGACAACTTTATGCCAATCGAGCTTAGGCCTCTTGATACAGACCAAGGTTTGCTTTTATTCTCTGTACTCTATCTATCCAGAAGGCTGTATTCTCTTTAGAGTACTATGCATATTTACTGTCCTGTTGGGTATTCTCTCTATCAGTAGGGTGTTCTCACTTTCCTATTGGGTGTTCTATCTATCGAGTAGGGTGTTCTCACTTTCCAGTGGGGTTTTCTATCAATCGAGTATGGTGTTCTGACTTTCCAGTGCGGTCTTCTTTCTGCCCAATAGGTTTTTCTCTATCCAGCAGGGTGTTCTCTCTATTCAGTAGGTGTATCATCTCTATTGGTCTTGTTGGATGTACTCTCACTATCTAGTAGGGTGTTCATTATGCAACAGGGGGGTCGACTGTCCATTCTTAGGGTGTACCCCTTTACATTGCTATGCTTGACCTATTCAGTACCTGGTACTCACTATCCATTGGGTGTACTGTCTCTATCCAGTACTCGGGTACTGGGCTCTGTATCCAGTAATAGGATGTACTTTATATCTTTCTCAGAAAGAAGTTGACCTCACACTTGATAATGTTTACGATGACTGTACACAAACAATGACAGATCTGACACAAAGTCATCATTCCAATAGTAAAAATAATCCAGACAAAATTGAAGACAATTAGTTCAAGAATGCCAAATGTCGACAGTACAATGTAGACACACATTGGTGCTGTGTTTGGGATAGGCTACCTTTCTGATAAAATAGCTCAAACGAGTTAGATTTTTGTATGCAGAATTCTACTGAGGCAGATCTATGTACTACCTGATATAATCCAAGTCTCCTCCTTCAAGAGTGTACGCTCCCTCTCCGCTCGAGTGAATCTGTAACCAGAATGGGTGTGCTCTCTTTCTATCCAGTACCAGGGTGTGCTCTCTATCAGATGTTTGCTGCACCTGTTGCTAGTACCATTTAAGCCATGCAATGTTGTATGTGGAAATTAGGTCAGATACTGTGAAATTTGTTCTCTGCTCACTGCTCCATATCTCTAAATGGCTACTACTGGATAAGATGTCTTTACGCAAGGACAAACATTACAGTTGAACATACATAATGACCTGTCCATCCTATCCAAAGACAAAGGACCAACATTACAATTGAACATGTGTAATGACCTGTCCATCTTAAGATTGCATCTGATTCTATTTGGGAAAAACATGGTGTTTTTGGTAATGTGAACAAAAAAGGTTCATCTGTGCCATATTTTAGTGTTGTGTGCTGTCTTCCAGCTGTGTTTGCCCCTTCAGATGTGATATTAGAATGTAACCCTAGTTGTGTGATTTGACATGAGCCATAGGAGTCCTTTTACCAATGTGTGTTGGGACATTACACAACATTCATGCATGTATGAACATGCCATTTATATATAGTTTTAGTATGCAGTATGACATCATGTCTTTGAGGTCACGTATGTGCATCTGTGTGTCAAAACATAAGCCTTTCAAACAACCTTAATGAAACTGAAGTATGACATTTATGTCAGTAAAACTAGCATACTGAAATGTAATACCATATGATTCTATATTCTCAAGTCTATCAAAACTATCATTTGGGTTGTTTATGTGAGTCACTGGTGTCTTGTATTAAAGGTCACATGCAACGTAAAACGCAACTTTGCAGATCCTGATACCTTTCGGTATGGACTTACCGAAACAAATCATCAAAAATGCAAATTCAACTTATAAAGTTGAAAAATAACGCGATGAACAAAACCGCGTGAAATCAGAGTTCAAACGATTCACTAATTTTCCCCCAGCGCTTTGGGGAAAAGTGGTTTCAGCAGCTGGGTTGCGCTTCGCTGGGCTGTACTCATAGCACATGTGCAGTGAAATAGGTTCACGCAGCTTGGAAGCGGGTTGTCCGGTGAATACTTGGTGAAGGCTTTGGTGTGGGCTATGTTTTGTTGATATTTTTGACGACAAAATAGCATCCATTGGATATGCTCAACACCAGGCTGTACTTCAACCATCAACCCCAAAGATGACCTTGTGACGAAGCAAGGTCAGGCCCACAACCATCCTGCAGATGATACCAAGATCGCCGTAGATAGTTTTCTTTCTAATCTCAAACAGATGGTTAGAGAAGACTCTACATGTACCACCCCTTGTAAATTGTACATGGATATTTGATACGACCCCCATAGTTGAAACAACAACGGATTAGTTCAGCAACCGTAACATGCCGGCATTCCGGGAGTAAACCATTTCACAGGCGCGAGCTTTTTATATGTCATGACAGTAGATTATCGATTTTACTGTTTATATAATTTCATTTGTCTATTTCACCACACGTTCTTCTTACCGAGTCACTTTCTCAGTTCGATACTTAAAAGCAATGTC